CAAAGCCATAAACTCAGAGGAAGCTCAGCTGTGCTTTATGGCTCTGAAATGACTGCAAAACAATATAACAAAGCCTTGGTTGACTTTAACTCTTTGGAGAACTGCATCCATCTGTCACGGCAGCACCAAGCCTGCCTGAGCAGGAGGAATCGTTGGCAGCATTTGATGTGAGCTTAAATCCAACATTTTCTGGACACAGCCATACTTCTGGGTTACCCACACTCTGGGCTCTTGTCTAACATGCAGTTTTCCCATCTGCTCAAAACCAAAATCCTGAGACACTAAACCATAAACCCCATCATTCTTTTCTCTTTCAGTTTTAGAGAAAGGCATCTAAGGAGTGTCCACAGCTTTTCTCTCTGGGCAGTTTGCCTCTGCCTTTGCTGATTGACTCTTCAGCTCTAGAAGTAGCAAATATCATCTCCTCCAGAGGGCTGATGCAGATTTTTCATGCCCTCTTCTTCTCTTACTCTTCAAAAGAAGGATCTGGCAGGGCTGATGTTAGGTTTTTAGGATGCTACTCTTACTTTCTCTGTTCCTGTGTGTGCACATACTGTCACATAGTGACGTCTGTGTTCCCCCTGCCTCTAATGAGATAAGTAACATGATATTTTGTGTTCCTCTCCCTGGTTGCCTCCCTCTTACAAATAAGACAGAAGCAGGGTCCATTTAGATGTGTGTGTTTGGATTTTGAGTGGTTGATTATCCGAAATCAGTACCTGGGATGGTCAACAGGAGGCTGTGAGCACTGTGGAGACCTGTTTTTCAGAAAGCGGGTGCTCAGCACCTGGAGGTCAGCTCTCTTGTCAGAATGGGTACCCTAAAACATAATGAGCCTTTTAAACATCTATGTGAGTTTTTGTGGGGTTTGTTTGCATTTGCACGCATGGCCTTGCATTAGAAACAAATACCCCAGATACACCTACTTTTACTGCTGTGGTGGGGATGCTGGGTCTATCACTGTGTGTCTATATTACAAGGTAGTGCTGTGCAGAGATTTGAGCTATGGCTCAAGAGGCAGCTCAAGCTCATCCCGTGCTAATTAACTCCGCTGAGGATGAAGCCTGCCAGGCAGGGAGGGCCGACAGCCCTGCACTGTTCTAGCACTGAGGGACTTTGTTGAGCTCAGGTGTCCCTGCACGGAGCGCAGCGGGCTGAGCTGCCCAGGAGCTGCAGGCGCCGTTTGAACTCGCACGGAAACCCAGGTCACGTAGTGGGAATCAGTTCACTCCCACAGACCGCTGGCAGACGCGCCGGCTCCCAGAGTTTGCTGTATGTTACCATGGAGAGCATTAGCTATTTCTGGTTTGCCTCTCGTTGCTTTTACAGCAGTGGTGCTGAGGGCAGGGAGGAGAACCCGTGTGGCCAGATAAGGCAGCCACTCTGAACTGCACAGGAGAGGAGTCTTGCTTCTGCTGCCTGTCCTCAGCCACCATCTGAGGTACAAGCACTTGTCAACCAGCAACAGCCCACAGGTGCATTTGTGAGGATAAGTTCTGCGTGATAATTCAAGCCTCACTTACCAGCTACGTGATGAATGGGTCCAGTTGTCCCAGCTCTGCACCAAGCAGCAATGAGACTGTGAATGAAGGGCTGCTGGGCATGCAGCCATCCCGCAGCGTATCTGAGAGGGGCAGTGGATGCAATGCTAATTGCATTGCATTGGATGAATTGTTGTTGCCTGAGAAAAAGTCAGATTGGGCCCCCAGTGTGGTGTTAATTGTCAGATGAAATTCCACATTTCTGGGGGCAGGGGAAGGGAGCAGGAGGATGCCACCCGCTCTTCCTAGCAAGTGTGGAAATTCCAGCTACTGCAACAGGCCGGTGACATGAGTGCGTAATCCTCCCGCAGAGCTGGCTGTGCAGTTCTGCTGTTTCATTTCAGACCTTAGACAAGGTCAAACAGGAGTTTGGTTAAGGAAGAGCTGAAGCCAGGTTTAACTGCAGCACTGTTAAGCCTGTCATCCCTAAGCATCCCTAAGCCTAACGCTGCAGGGACCAGGATTCGTCTCCATCTGAGATGGGCTTGGGGGGTTGCAGGTCTGCAAACCCTTGGGGTAATTTGGGAATGACTGAGGTAGGAGGTGGTGGGATGGTGGGGGGACAGCCTTCCTCTGACCTCTCTCCAATGAAATCCAAGTCATGGGGAAGGGGATTACATTAGAAGCTCTGATAACTCATTTCCCTTTGAAAAAGAAGCCATCAAATTACCACTGTGATTCCAGATTGCTAGTACAAAACAGAGCAGGCAGTCTTTGGAGAGGCAGTGTTTGGTTTCTGCACCCTCTGGCACTAAGGCTTCCTAAGCAGGCGCCCAAAATGCCTAGGCAACTTGCAAAGGAAGAGCAGCAGAGCACTGAGTGCTGGGAGGGAAGGAGGCATTGCTGAAGCAGGCATGTGGTGCTTAGTTGTGAACCTCTTTTGGTAGAGATCTCACTTCTAACAACTGTTCACACGCAGACTTTATATAGGAAGAGAGGGGTGAGGCAGAGCAGGACTGGTTTATCGGAAGATGAGAGAATTAGGAGGTTTCTTTGCAATAACCTTTGAAACCAGCTGAGTAAAAGTTCAGCTTGCTTCAGCGTGTGTGCTTTGCCCGCATTCAGAGCTGTGCCAAGATGTAAATCCATGGCAAAGCTGGCCCTGGAGACTCGCAGCAGGCAGGATAGGGCCCTTGCTGCTCTACCTGAGGCTGAGCAGCTCTCACGGCTGTCGGCAGCCGCCGGCTGTGCCGTGGGTTTATGAAGTGCTGTTCCAGCTGCGGTCAGGGCTCACCTGGGCTTTGTAAATACCCGTTCTCTGCCAGTGTGGGGCTGGGGCTTTGAGTTGGCAAACTGCTTCAGCACGAGCTCAGTCAGCCCCCAGCCCCTTACACACGTTGAGCATCTGCTTATTTTTAAGCTTGCACTTATGTATTTAGGGAGGGGGGACCTGGAGTGGTATTGCCAAGGGATGGCCATGACCGGGTGCAGTAGCTGTGGCTCTTGCTGCCTACCCAGAGCTCCAGGTGAGCCCCTGCCAAGGTGCCTTCTGCTCTAATGCTTCTAAAGAGTGACAGCCCAAAACTGTAAATATGGGAATAAACACTCCCACAAGTCATCTGCTGTTAATTTACAGTTGAATCAATTCATTTTAATCCAAAAACAGCAGAGTCTTTCAGCCTCTGAAGGGTATTGAATATTTTACTTGATATCATAAGCAAAAGGATTGCAGGGCATGTCTTTCCCCCAACTGTTTTATTTCACCAAGAGCATTTAGTGCTTTGCCAAATTCTGTCTCTGAGGGTCACTGCAAATGTGTTCTCCTTCTGCTTTTCATATAGCACTGAAAAGTGAGCTGCGGTTGTGTAACTCGTTAACTATTCTGGCAATTTTAGCTTGGAGGCTTCTCTTTTAATGCTCATATATAGCTTGCTCTCACAGACTTATCCCCCCCTAAAAAATAAGAGGACAAGCAACCTGTGCAGTGCTGTCACAGCAGATTGCTACCTGAAATAATGGGATTTCTCTGGGAAGCCAGAGCAAACGAAACAACCAGATTTCGTTGGTATCTTGATTAGGAGAGGCACGCGGTCAGCCTCCCAGCTGTCACCATGGTCAGCTTTAAATACGAAACCTTTTTTCCAGATCACTTTCCAATACGTTGCTTCCTATCTGACATATCTGGTAGTCCGGGTGATCGTTTCTCTGCATGTCAGTAATGGTAACCGGTTGCTTAACAACGGAGGAGGAGGTACAGACAAAGCGAACAAGCTTACCCAAACCACACTGGAAGTTATTCAGTGGCCAACAGTGATTCCTCTCTCTCTGTGCTCATCCAGCCCAGTGGAGCAGATGGCCCCAGGCAGCATGTCCCTTTGTCTGATTTCATCATCTCTTTGACAAGTGTTTTCTCTCATGGATGTGTCCAGGACAATGATCAGGGGCTGTACCTGGGTTTTGAAGAGCTGCACAGCAAGAGGTGTAGCCATCCACAGGGTGAAATCCCGACCTGTCTCCCTGAGGGGCTGCAGAGACCGAGGGGGTTGTTTGGGTACTCCAGTCCCCCATGAAAAAGGTCTCAGGCATTGCTTGACTCCATTCACAAGCTAGACTGCACAAGGCATGCTTCATACTAAAATTGTATCAGAAAACAGCAAATGGATGCTGCGTGATTTGTGATGTCTTCATTTATCTTTTTATTTTTGCCTTAATGTTGAGGAAAGACCTTGGTAGGAAACTGTAATATTATGCAGCTGGCTATGAGCACTGTTGGGCTCGGTGTCTTTTGCCATGTTTGATTCCTAGCAGCTGCTCAGCGTTGGTTAATTATCTCCTTAGAAGAGGGATTTCTATTTTTACAGGATGACTAGGAGGCTGATGGAAACGTGCAAGAGAGCAGAAACCCAAATATTTAGGCAGACCTATAAAACACTTCCCATAGCCAGCACCACAGCTGCAGCTAAGGCTGAGCGGTCTCTGTTTGCTTTCTGGGTGATACATTTTTCTGAAGGGATAAGTTGCTGGAACAGCTTGAAGCGAGCATCGCCCTGAGTCACGCTGCAGCACAGACCTGCACTGAAAACCAGCAGCGGGGCAGTCCTGCTTCACGGGATTATTCCCAATTAGTTGTTCTTGTCCTCGTGTTGGGTGAAGTCTTACTCTGCACTAATGCTGCCTTGGTCCCTGTGTAACATAGGGCGCTGTAGTGGATGTCCTTACAGACACAGGCAGAGACCAACAGGTTGTCTGTAGCAAGGGATAACTCTCTAGGAGCAGAAAACCCAGCTCACTTGGGTGGCTGTAGCTCTCACCCCGGCTTTCCTTCCTCCCTGAACACGTTCCAGGGCTGTGGAGGGTTCGGCCAGCGTTCCTTGGCCGGCGCGTGGATGCTCAGCGCCCCCGTGGTGAGTGAGCAGCGTGGGCCCCGAGCACGTGACAGCACAGCTCATGCACTCAGGATTTAAAACATACCTATAGTTGTTGCTGCAAAGTAGGAAGGGAAGTCCAGCCCCGCTTGATCTTTCCCTTCCTTTTAGCCTTTTTCACTAATAGGCACATGTAAGTGATTAACGCAGCCGCGTGTGCCTGTTCCTTGTTGTTTGTGCAACCCCCAGCATGTGCTTTATCTTCTGAGTACGAGGTGGACGTGTTTGGCGTTTCGTACACGAGGGACTTTGCCAGCCTGGCCGGTGCTCAGCCACACTGGTGTCACGTCACCACAGCTGCGGCCACAGCTCCCCTGGGACTGACACTGGGCCCACTGTTGGAGGGGCTCGCTGATTTTATTCTGCTAACAAACCCTATTTTAACTTGTGGCCTTAATATTCAAGATAAGCTGGTTCTCTGTCTGTGCTATACAGATACAATCTTTGCTTCTCTTCTCCTTCATTAACAGTGATGCCTGACAGCTGTTGGTGGAGGTTTTGTCTTCAGCATGCTCTTTTGACCCCCCAGGTCCCTACCATCCATCAGCAACTCCAGATGGATCCATGTCAGATGCCAAAACTGAGGATAGAGGGGAAAAGCAATTAAAATCTTAGGAAAACTTTCAATATACCTAAAGGAATCCTGTTTTCTTTGAAAACCATTTAATAGAAAGTTGGATCTAGGTTCCATATTCTGTCCAGCTGGCAACCAGTTCACAAAGTCATCCAAAAAACTGTATTGAAATCATGTTGTTGACAATGCTAATCATTTAACACATCACATGGGTTAAAAAGTAATGCATATATTACAGAAAAAAAATTGCATCATAAGGTGTACATTTTATGAAAGGCCAGGTTGGACACAGGGGCTTGGAGCAAGCTGCTCTAGTGGAAGGTGTCCCTGCCTGTGGGAATGGGTTGGAACTGGATGAGCTTTAAGGTCCCTTCCAATCCAGACCATTTTATGTTTCTATGATTGTATGAAAATTACAGGGAATTAAGATTGAATGGGTGTGTAGGTATAAAGATAGTGAGAAATGCTTCCAGGTGCTCGGGTGAATTTCAGGCAGATTTTTAGTCTTGAATCACAAAGAAAAGGGGCATGTTGCACTCATCTTGGGGTGAACAGGAGTTTAGGTGCATGTGCCTAATTCATCCATTTCTTGGCAGGTCACACAAAACTGAACAAATCTGAGCTTTGGAGATGGCCAGTCCCGGAGGCCATGGGCAAGCCACTTGCTGTGTGGCTGACTCTTACCTTGATCACTTTCTATGTGCCTTTTCCCTTGATGGGTCTTTTTGACCAGACTTACACAAAACGCTGCTGTCTGCTAAGGCATACTGTGGCTCAGCAGAGGCCCTGCAAAGACTAGTGGCATTGCTGCATCTCCTTGGGGTTGTTTGTATAACTTTCTACGTGCTCTTTAGATTCAGAGTGCTTGTTTTGATCTTTATTTTAATAACACTTTGAAGTGTTGATGCATGACGCAGTTTCCTACAGCCTCATAAGAGGTACAAGATGATAAAAAAAAATATTGTTGGTTTTAGGATTGGTTGTTGGGTTTTGTTTTTTTTTTCTTTTCCTAAAAACACAGGTTTTGGGGGAAAAAAAAATGCTGTATCTGTGAGGAAGATTGGTTCTAGGTCTATAAAAGCTAAGCATGGGTGCAAGCTTGGGCAGTGCTACACTAGAAAGACGGATAACACAGGTCCTGGTGGAGCAGGGAGCTCCTCCAAATGGAGCAGAAATGTAGGAGTATACAAGGGCATTTAGTGGAGAGTGTACCATAAGCTAAATTATTTGGTTTATTTCTTTTTGTGGCTTGGGGCTGGAAGTCTGGAAGCTATTTGACATTTCCCGTATCCCTCTGTTAACCTATGGGAAGAGCATCACTGAGTGACTGGGAGCTGGGGAAGGTCCACTGTGTACAAAAAGCCATGGCAGAAACTAAATGCCTAGACTGAAACAGTCTTGTGCTGGCAAAACCAAGGTGGTTATGGTTTCTTTTCTAGTTTATGTGCTCCTGGGACATGAGTAAGCAGCTGACAGTCTATAGTCCATAAAAAGGCAGGTAAGCATTATCAGAGGTTAAAGCACAGTCATAGTTATCTGACCTTGAGTAGCACAGGCTACCACATCTGCCCTCTTACCCTGTTCTGAGCTTTCCCAGTTGGAAACACCCACATTTCTTTGCAGTTTGAACCAAGGCACATCTGTGCTTCCCCAAGCCTCTCGTGTGGGTTCATCCTCCAGGGCTACACCTAAGAAATACAAGGAAATCTAGCAGGCCCGATAATATGGGAAAAAGAAGTCATGCAGCTTCACAGTGCTTAAAGAAAGCCTCACATTAAGTAGCCTACTGCACCAGTCTGAAAGGACAAATGGGGTCTCCCCATCAGAAAGCTCCTCTTTCCTGTCTGTTGGACCACAGAAACCATGCTGAAGAAACACAGAGCAACACCTGGCTCTCCAGGGGTCGTTTTTAAGGTCGCTAGAAGAGGAAAGTAACCGTTTTAACCATAGACAATGTCTCACAGCAGCATACAGGCCACGGCACACCAATTAAATTAAAATCTTTGTGCAAAATAAGCCTTAAAATGTGAACTTGTGTTTGTGTTTAGAAACAGTACTAAGTGTTAGAGATGCATTCTGAAAATACAGAGTAGAAGCAGTTGTAGTTTAATAGCTGGAAGGCACGGTGATGGGCAAAGCACCAACCTATAACCATCTGTGCCCAACACCTAGAGAACAGGGACCCCAGGGTGACATGAAACCCCTTCTCCCACCTCCATCCCCAACTCGATGGCCCTGTTGTTCCCATTTTAGGTGTCCAGGGAAGTGTCTTGCTGCTCCCTTTAGCCAAATACACTCCCTCTACAACATAGGGATGGGAAACCATAAAGGATAAATGAGACTTGATACACCCTGCCTGGGTCCTTCACTGCCACTTGTACCCAAGAGTGCATTGTCAATGCCAGGGAGCTCTGATCTTGTTTCTTGGGCTTCTGCACATGATCTGCCCTCACCCAGAAGCTGCTGAAGCTGCTGCCTTTGGTATATTCACTTGAGAGCATCACCTCGAGTGGTGCTGTCGAAGGCAGATCCATGGCTTATCTACTCTGCCAGCTGGACCTGCTGTAAATTCAATGAACCATAAATATCCTTTTCATAAATCAGAAAAGTTTCCACCTGAGCATAAGTGTGGTGTCTTGCTCCTCTCCTTGCTCTGGGCAACTGGTTGACTCTTTGGAATGAAGTGATCAGGTATTCTGGAAATTGAATTAATTTCCAAACGCAGGCAGGGTCACAGAGTAATTCTAAGACAAGGAGTTAAACTTGCTTCCTTTTCCTTCTTATTCAAGCTCATTTTCATTGTATACAGAGCATATCTGAGATAAACTTTGCAGTAAACATGCATCAGTACCAGATTCTGCAAGGAAGCACATTTTTGTCCTTTCTTTTTTTCCTGAAACAAGGGTTTTTAATGGCCCTTTTCTAATTCTCAAGGTCATTGTTAAATATTTTGAATAGTTGGTCAGATGCCAAACTATTTTCTTTGCCTGCCTTTCTCCCCTTGGAGAATTACTGCAGACAATGAAACGTGGCATCTTCAACATTAGTGTCAAAGAGGAACGTACCATGACAAGCAGTTTTGTATCTCAGGAACTGGACTAAAGTTTTATGTTGTACTGAGTAGGATAAAGAGTCTCACGGTGCACTTAATCACCAGATCTCTGCAGCATCCTTTAATGCAGTTATTATATTTTAGCTTTTATTTAATAGGGGAAAAAAAGATGACGTTTCTTTTGTATTAAACTTGGGCTGAAACCATCTGCAGTCCTCAGAAATACCTGTATGAGGCAACTGAATACAGCAATAAGACTTGATTGCCCCTTGTGCAATTCCTGTGAGCACATACTGTGAAGTGAGGGAAGAAGAGCCCTTTTGGCAAAGTGGGGCAGCACAGAAGCTTGTGTGTGACTGCCCTCGCTTCAGCCAGGTTTCTGACCCTGTGTGATGCACGGGCACTGCAGAACGAGCCCACGTAAAACGGCGTTCAGGGCTGTAGAGCAAATCATGCACGTATTGGTGTCTGCACTGAAGGCAAGTGGGAAGTGTTGCTCTTTGCTTTTCATATGCTCCCTCTGCTGCTTGAAAATCATGCTTAAACCTGCAAATTGAGATTCTCAGCAAAAAAAATATGGGTTTAATACAGCCTTAGCTTTTTTAGCTTCACAGCTTTAGCTGTTCCGAATGCATTTACCTGATGAGTTTGTATGTGACTTTGTTTGTTTGGAGGCAGCATATTTGGCTCCCTAGATACTATCTTGCAGTGAGGATCAGCATTTCTAAGCATGTATTTCTACAACAAGTAAATAACGTTGAGGGGACAGTGAAGTTTGCACATTTATCAGGTGGTTGCATAGAGCCATCACCCAGCCCCAGAGGTAGCTGGAGCGATGCCTTCTTGGTGCTCTGGGCAGTTTTGGGGTATTGGCATGGCTACAAACTGGCAAAGCATTAACAGGGAGGCAAAAGGTGGTGTCTGCAGACCTGGCTAGCTCAAAACCTGACTGCTATAAACAGTAATGCAGAGATGGTGCTCATGAAGCATATTGCTGGGATGTTATTTCTTTATGATCCCTTTTCTGGCCTATTCAGTATTTGTTTTACACAGCTGCCTCCAACATCTGCTTTTCATCTCTGCTCTTTATCCATGTAGGTATTCAGAAATGCCTTTCTTCTTTCAGCTGCTTTACGTGTCTGTCTCGTCGATGAAACATGCAGCTAATTGAATAAACCCCCCTCTTTTTAAAAGAGGCTATTGCATACTTTGCACACAAATAGTTAAGGGAATAATGACATCTACCTTCCACATAAAGGAAAAGGGTGGGGGAAAATAGCAAGGTGAGCCTGAAATTTCTCCGGATTCTGAAAGCAGGCTAAGCCCGTTCTGTAGTTTCAAATTGAGAACTTTTCCCACTTTTCTACCTGACAGCTTTTAAGCTGCTTTCCGAGCCTCCAACCTCTCCCTTCTTCACTTGGGGCAATCAGGACCCAGGCTGTGGATCGGACTTTCAGCCCAGGATCCATCTCCAGAGCACTGGGCTTCCTGGGTGAGCAGCTTCTGCTGGTTAAGCATCTAGCCATAATGTCAGGAACCCCTGGTTCCTTGGCTTTTGTCATCGGTTGGCATGAAACCATTGCTGAGCAGCCCTGCTCCTGTGACAGCGGGACTTGGCAGCTCTGCCTTACCCAGCTGTGATTAGGAGGTTTGCAAGTGCAGGGGGCTGTGTTTAAGCAGCTATTCCATACCAGTTTCAGCCTGCAATTGTCTTCCCTTCCCTTCTCCTCCCCAAGAAACATGAGGTTATTGCTTTTGGATAAAGGAGACCGCAGCGCTGAGGCATTTCTCGAAAAGCAAATACAACTTCTGACCTCAGCAAGGAGCAGAGTTTGCCTGGATTGAAGGTCAGCAGCTCCACGAGATGTATGGGCTAGAGGCACTGATGACTTCTCTTTCTGATACTCAGTAAAAGCCCTTTTTCTTCTCAGAATATCCCTCTCCTTTTGATGTTTTCCCATACTTTTTATTTGCCTCCTTGAACAAAGCTTGCTCTTTGAATAATATCCCTCCGTGCTGCGTATCTATACTTCTGTGGCTGAGCTGCTCCTGCATCCTGAATCAGCTATGGAACAGGCAAATCTGCATTTTCTCACGTAGATATCAACTGTGAGGGTAGCTGCTAAGCCCCATGACTGGCTTTTGTTTGGCAGAAAGCAATCCCACATTCAGGTGGGGAGATCTGAAGCAGAACCAACCCTTCCAGCCTGGGATGCAAACAGGGTTTGCATCCCATCCTCCTCCTCACCTTCCTCTGCGCTACCTGGGAAAACAGTGCATTGTGCAAGGAGATTGGGAAAAAGCTGCCAGGTGATGGCTTTGTCTGATGTCTAAGAGGCATTCAAGGTTTCAAGGAGAGAAACATGGGGAAAGACAGCTGGGATTGGGGTCTGCAAGCCCCGGAGGTCCCGAAAGCAGCTCTGCAGTAGAGCAGCACTGAGGTCCGTGTCTGCCTGTATTCACGCTAGGAATGCCAGCAGGCAAAGGAAAATCTGGTGTGTTTATGCGTGTTTGTAGATCTGAAAATGTAAACTATGGTACAGTATCTGCTTATGGTGTGACCTCTTAACCTGAGGGGTTTTTCCTGTTCTGGGGTGAATTCCAGCAAACCACTGTGCTGCTGTGTTTACAAGGAAGATGCCTGCTTTCCTTGTTCTCAAGGCCAGAGCATGTCTCGTTACAAATCCTCTTTGGGAAAAGTGAGCTGGTTAGCCCTGCTCACCCCAGTGAAGCTGCAGTGGATAAGTATTCCTACTGCACTGCTGAAAAAGAACAACTAAAATAGGATTCAAATAATCATTCGCTGCCTCCTCTGTTTATGTATCTGTCCTGAATTTTAAAACCTCAAGGTGCTTGGTTGACTCTACCCAAAACCAGGGAGGAGGCAGCCCCTTGCAGCAGAGCCCCACGTAATCATTTCTGAGCACCAGGAAGGATTTAGCCCACACTGGGACTCGCAGGCAAACCACCATTGCAGAGGGATGCTGGCTCCCCACCGTGGCAGCAAGCATGATTTGAGCTGGTGAGTGTGTGGGTGGAGGCAGCCCAGCACCACCGAGGTTGGAGCAGGGTGGAAAGGCGATGGGTGGCCGCTGGCCTTGGGGTGCCGGTACCCCAGCGAGCTCCATCGCCCCTCCAGCAGCTGCTGTTACAGGAGCTGGTTCAGCACAGGGCCAGGGTAAATTACAGTTCCTGTAAATGACCGGCAGGGTCCAACACTTCCCAATGGTTACCCGTCTCTGTAAACAGACTTCTGTGTGCCTGGCCACAGATCAGAGCCACACTCATCGGTCTGTCCAGCTCTGCAGCGAAGCTCCACGCCATATGCAAAGAAAAGCCAAAAACAATATGTTTATGAAATCCAAACATCGCAAATACGCTTTATTTACACTGCTGACACTGAAAGGAGAAACAGATGCTTCTGGTTTGGGTGCCTGTCCAGGAAAACACGGAGATCAGAGGGAAGGAAAAAGGAGAACCGAAATGTATAGTCTGTCACATCTCCTGTTTGAACTATTGGAAATCATTCATGTGCTGCTACAGCAAACGGAAGGGGCTCAGCTTTACCAAACACCAGGCTGTGTCCCTTGGTGCACTGATGCCGTGAGTTGTATTGTTGGGAAACACCAATCCTGTGAAACAGCCCCATGTTACCAAGAACCGGAGGAATCCCAACGCAGGCCCAGCAAGACGGGCAGCATGCAAGCTGCAAGAGGGGCTGCAGTTCAGCAGCGTCCGGTGGAGGAGCCCGTGGAGCTGAGTGTCACGGAAGGCAGCCCAGAGCCTGCTCCCAGATGCACAAAGGCTGCAACCAGGAGAGCGTTGCAAGGTGCAAATGCGTTGTAACCAGCTCAGATGGGCCCTTGGCACAAGGACTTTTGCTGCATAATTGTCTTATTGCCATAAGAGGTGGAAATACACGAAGCAACGCATCAAGCAGTGCTGACACACTGACTGTCTGACTGAGCAGCGCCGGGAGACACAGTGTTCCGAAACACGGGTCAAGGCAAGAGCCAGCCTCTTCATAGCCCTGTCACCTTCTAGACCAGGCATCTGGCAGGGTTTACATAATGAGATTGAAAATCCTTCCCAGAGTGCTGATGGTGCTGGACTGCCTGCGTCTCACAGGCACATCCCCACTGGGTGCTGACCAGCACCATCAGACCAGCCTAAGCCTCTGCTCAGATGCTCTCACACCTGTGACGGGTCGGTTCTGCACAGCCCTGGGCCTGTCTTTCCTTCCTGGTAAGCTGCTGTGAGGACAGAAATGATTTGCTGTGGACTCAAACACTGTGCTGTTTCACACACACTGTTTATTGCTTTACTACACAATCTACCAGCACATGAAATCTGACAGGAGTGAGTGCATGCTGTTCCCATCTTTGGGAATTATCCCAAAGCCCTGAGTTAAGCTTTAATTGCATCTCATTCCTCTAAGACAAATAGGTGGAGAAGGCAAACAAATAATGTTTTGGACAAAAGCATTGCTAGCTAAACCCCTAACAGGGACAGCAATGCCTGCGCTCCCTCTCCGACCATCCATGCTGGCACCAGCCTCAGCAGGCAGCTGCCTCGCTGCAGGGCTGAGCCTGCACCAAGCAGGATTAAAACACACAAACAAATAGTGCTAAACATGAAACGAACCCCAAAATGCCATGAAATTAAGTCATCTGTTGTATGAGGTGAGAAGCTGTTACCCTCACACAGCATGGTGGCTGGAGGGGACCAGTGCTGGCAGCTGGGAGCATCACTCACCCCGCAGTGATTCGATTGGGTATGGACCGTCCGCATCCCTGCTGCATCCTCTCAGCCCTGTGTGCCTGAGTGCACTGCCCAGCTGTCAGGGCTCGGGCTCCTGGTGCCACATCTGTACCTGCAATCTGTTTTTCCCCTGATTATTGGAAGATGTATGTGCAGGATGTTGGGGGTGCTGGGTCATGCAGCTGGAATCGAGTGCTTTTCTTGCGCACATCAAGCTGTGGGGTGACTTCCAAGTCACGGCGTCATCTGATACCCTGGTAAGCTCCTGTTAAATTGAAAACCATATGTCACAGTGGAGCTTTGACAGTCCATGCCCTGACCGCATGACCCACATTGCTCATGGGTTCGCACCCCTTGCAAAAGCAAGGTGAGGATTCACATAAACCTCCTACAAACTGGTTAGGTCTGTCCTAGTGCTGACTACTTGCTCCGAGTACCCAGTATGCGCACACCTACACTATGTGATGAGCTACCTGCCACTGCTCCAGCGTGGCCTCCTCAGGTGAGCAGAGCTGGACAGGATGCTCCTGTCTTCCCTGTGGTGTGTAATGTTCATTCATCACAAGAGATATAAACTCTGTGCTTTATTTTTTCCTGCAAACACCTGTTACTGATCATTTCCCCAGCACTAATATTCTGACGCTGGTTGGTGGGGGTTTGGCTGTGTTGATGGCTTTGGCAGAAGGCTGTGTGCAGGGAGGTGGTTAATCACGGTCCTGGAGGTCACCTTTATGGGAGCAAAGAGGGACTCTATTCCCTGTGGAAAAGACATTTTGAGAAAAATAGTCTGAGGAGAGGGAATTTTGGGGAATGAAAAAACTCATTTGGCAACTAGAATCAGGATCCTGTGATGCAGTGATTCTTTTCTTAGGGGGCAACTTTTGTTTTCAGTTTCCAGATGAAAAGAGAAAAAAATATATATATTTAAATTATGCAGGGCTTTGTTTAGTTGAAAATTCAGCTTTTCTCTGAAAACTCCAGCGAAGTTGCAGTCAGCCGTGGTACTGTGCAAGCCTTGATAGTTAAACATAAGCTCACGCATCACGAAACAGAACATGCGTGCTTTCAGCTACTAAAGTTTCATGATCTAGGTCTTTTGCAAGTAATGCACATTGATTTAAAACAATAATAACACAACTTGATTTTCAGCTATTTCCTGTATATTAATTTCCTAATCATTTGAACTTCCTGTCATTAGATGGGGGAGCTGAATACTCTCAAAGAGCATTAAAATGTAGGAGATACAACAAAATGCAGGTTTTAAGAAGCAAAGTTCTAATACTGACACTGGCATAGGTTGCCCAAGGAAGCTGTGGCTGCCCCATCCCTGGCAGTGTTCAAGGCCAGGTTGGATGCGGCTTGGAGCAACCTGCTCTAGTGGAAGGTGTCCTGCCCATGGCAGGGGGTTGGAGCTGGATGATCTTAAGGTCCTTTCTAACCCTTTCACCCATTCTGTGATTCTAATACTTTTGGATTTGCTTTAAAAAAAAACTTTCTTCTGTAGAAGTTGTGCTTTATTGTCCTTGCCCTTTTCCCCTTGGGGTTCCCCTTTTGTTCTTGGAGAACTGGAAGAGGCTCACAAATACCAAAAGTCAGAAAGCAAATGCAAGCAGCAGAAAATGAACCCACATTTGGGCTAAAAGTTTAAAAAAGGAGGAGTCTAGATCAAAGTATGTGCCTGTCCATGTTCAGTATTAATTTCCATGACTATCAGTGTTTGTTTACCACAGTCTAAGTGGGACAGATTTATTCTCCAGCAGTGGCTCTATAGTAATGTAATTGCTTGCTCTAACTCAAATGATCGTGGGGGTGAAGGAGCAGAAAATCACTCCCAGTGAGATCTTGCAGCATGCAAGGGAGAGCTCCCACACCCAGGGCTTGGGGTGGCAGAGGCCTGGGGTGGCAGGTGAAAGGTGCTGTTACGAGACCCGGTCTGCAGCTGCCTCCTCCCAGCATCACTCCGTGCTGCAGCATCTGCCACAGCAAACCAGGATCTTCTTTTTGCCTGGGCGAAGCCGCTGCTTTCCCAGCAGAGGGCACGATGCGCAAAGGAGCGCGGTGATTCCCCCAGCGAAAGAGAAACGAGTGTGCAGAGCCAGAAACCACGATGCGGGATGTGCTCCCTCCATGCACCCTGCAAAGGGCTTTGCTGCCTGCCTTTGGAGCAAGCACCCTGCGCTGCTGTCTGCTCCCAGTCCAGAGCCGCGGTGCCCAAGTATCTTCTTC